CTCCCTGCAGGCAGGTTCTGCTGACCTTCCCCTGAGCTCCTGACGTCCACTGTCCTCATTTCTCTCAGTGAATTGGCCCCTTCCACTTTCACTTTCGCCTCATCTTTTAAAATTGAATGTTCTTCCTGTGATTGTCCCCAGTCATCTCCTTGCTTCCTCCAAGCAGCCAGCCTCACACCTTAGTATCATGCTGCTTATAAACAGCTCTTTTTTTTTTTTTTTTTTCCCTATCTTACTGGCCTTGGTAGCTTACTTTTAATTGTCTGTAGTGGATATGCCCCTTATTACCTCAGAGATGCTGTGGGCAGTCCCTCAGCCCAGGCACAGTAACCATAGCACCACTTACAGCCCCAAGGGTGGAGCTCCTGACTGGGGGCTTGTATTTCTTTCTTTTTTTTTTTTTTTAAATAAATGGTTTGAGGTTGGCCTAAAGAGAAATATTTGAAGTAGGGTTGCCTTCCTGTACCATAGAGGCAGAGAGCTGGAGTTTCTTCCTCTGTTCGGCAGCTACCCAGCTGCCCTGTGCTCTGAGAACAGAAACAGGATGACTCTAGTGGTGCTGACACTGCCAGGTCATTTGTCATTACTCATGGTGAACAATATTTACCTCATTTTTCATGTGAGAAAATTCAAATGATAGTAAGTGGTGATTGACAGATGTTCTGACTAAATTCTGTTTATTGACTTTCTATTGTACATTCTTTATGCTTTTCAAGAACTGTTTTTCAGTGGACACAGTTTTTAAAGAATATCCACCTATACCCTACCAGTCCTTAAGAGGTGCTTACGTGGATGAGGAGGTAGAACAGTCACACAACACACTAAATAGCATGGAGCTCCCTGTGACTAGAAACATGAGTGGGGGCCCCTGAAGAAGGCAGGAAGTGAAGGCAGGCTCCTATGTTGACTTTGAATTGAGACTGGAAGGAGGGTAAGAGGCTCAGAGCAGGGTGGAACTCACGCAAGGGTGGCCCTGGCCACAGGACTTACACCTAGAATGGACAGAGGTGGTCATGATAAGTATCTCTCCACACAACAAACGTATTAAAATGGACAACCTCGTGACAGGTGGCTGCAGTTCGAGAAGGGATGTCCTGGATTGTCCCTGTGCCATTGCTGTCCCTCCTCACGGCCAAACAGCTGGAACAGATGGTGTGCGGGATGCCTGAGATCTGTGTGGAAGTCCTGAAGAAGGTGGTGCGCTACCGCGAGGTAGATGAGCAGCACCAGCTGGTGCAGTGGCTGTGGCGCACCCTGGAGGAGTTCTCCAATGAGGAGAGGGTGCTCTTCATGCGCTTTGTGTCTGGGCGCTCCCGGCTGCCAGCCAACACCGCCGACATCTCCCAGAGGTTTCAGATCATGAAGGTCGATAGGGTAAGTAGGCAGTTTTCCTTCCTTGCTTAAAATCTGCTCGCTTTACCCCCTCTTTTATTGCTTGCCTGCTAGGGAAATGGAAGTCTAACCTCCCCAGAAGGCCTACCTGTTCAGGCTTTAGCTTTTGGGATTCATAACAGATCTAAAACCGTGATGCATCAGACTTTAACTTCACTTAGTGGTGGTGAATAAAGGGCCTGCGTGGATGTGGAAAGCATGTTGCCAGAAGCGCCCTTCCCTCGTCTTGCATTAGATCTGAGTGGGCAAGGGGTCCTCATGTGTCCCTGCCTCTCAGGCCCCAATGCCTTTTCCATGTGTAACTTGCATGCAGGGTCCAGTCTTGTTTGGTGTACAGGCAGTAGTGGCGGCCGACCGTGCCACCATCGGAGGTGGGTGCACAGGGTAGTGGCCCTAGCTGCAGATCCCCAGCCTGGTTGCATTTTGAAGGTGGCTTAGGAACATACAAGCTTGGAATCCGAAGCCCACATTGCATCTTACTTAGAAAGAGCCATCTTTCTAAGTACGCTACTGGCTGTGCCTCTCTCCTTGTAGACCTTTCAGGGATCCTGGACTGACCCCAGGGTAAACGCTGCTAGCCTTCCCCAGTCAGACCTCTGCCCCACCCTGTGTTCTGGCCATAATGGGCTTCTGCCTGTCTCTGCAGCACCTTGTGCTCTTTCTGCTTTGGAGCCTGCACATAGCGAATTCTCTCCTTCGTGCCCCTTCCACCTGTGCCTAGCAGGCACTGCCCTTTTCCGCAGAGCCCTCTGGAATTCTTTCCTGTGCTTTCTGCCTCCTCTTGACCTCCACCCCCTGGCACACCACTTAGGGTAGCTCTGTCCTCTTTCCTCAGCCATAACCCTTCCCCTTTCCCTATGTGTGGGCAGTCCTTTGAGCGGGTGAATGGGGTCTGGTGAGGAGATAGTGAGGAAAACAAGATGCTACCCGCAGTGCTTTGCTCAGCGTCAGTGTCTGCCCTGTGTTCTTCCAGGCGCCCGCTGCTCCTGGCGGCTGCTCTAGACCGGAGGCTCTCCACCTTCCTGGGGCTGTGGTCCTTCAGTACGGTTCCTCGAGCTGTGGGGACCCTCTCATTTTACCCAACCTTAAAATTACTTTGTTGCCACTTCATAACTTTAATCTTACTACTGTTATGAATCATAATGTAAATATCTGATATACAACCACTGTGAAAGCATCGTTTGACTCTGAAAGGGATCACGACCCACATGTTGAGAACCATTCACATAGACAGAGCTCTGCCTCCTGCAGCCCCCAGCTGGAGCTCTGCTCCTGGCCATGGCCTAGGCTCCCTGGGACTGCTGTGCTGGGGGAGGGCTATGAAAAGAGTCGTTCCATGCATTTCCTGCATGACTAGCCAAAAACTATAAGCTGTCAATCTGTTTTGTTGTTGCACAGTGAAGTGGGAAGGAGGTAATAGCTCCTTTCCATTCAGTTCTGGAAATGATCCTTACCTTGAATATGCCCAGACTACCCAGCCACCTCACTAATCTCCTGCCTCAGTAAATTGCCCACTGGGAGTGTATCTTTTGTGGCTCTTAGATCACTTCTCTAGTGTCCACATTTAGGTACTCTGAGCAATCTTCCTTTCCTCACTGTCCTCAGCTTCTCTGCCTGTACCTCTGTTATCAGCAGCTCCCACACCTGGAGGGTGCAGATCCCCCCCACCTCTGCTGAAATGTAGCCTCGCTTGGGGAACTCTGAGGAGAAGCACTGACTCAAAGAATGCCAAGCTAGGGAGGGAGGGCAGGGCTAAGGATGTGGCCAGTAGGGAGCGCTTTCCTGGCCCTTCCAGCCCAGCCCTGGAAGGAGAGAAACACTTACTGTTACATATCGCATAGCAGCTGTGCGCACTGCGATCCCAGTACCAAAGGGGGACTCAAGCTAGGGCCAGCCTGAGCCACATACAAACCCTGAAAGAAGAAATGACGTAGTGTCATTACTGTTCTTGCAAATAGTTTAGAATATGGTGGTTAGCAGGGAGGGCCAGACAAGATATTTAACATGCTGTCTAGCAGAAGCCATTTTCAGTTGTGTATTTTAAAAATTCTTCTTTAAAAGGTGGCCATAGTTCTAGCACTCCTCTAGGTCCAGTGCTTGGGAAGCATAGGCAGGCAGGTCTTTGTGAGTTCAAGGCCAGCCTGGTCTCCATACTGAGTTCCAAGCCAGCCAGATTTTATAGTGAGACACCATGTGTGTTTTTTTTTGTTTGTTTGTTTGTTTTGTTTTGTTTTTTCCCTTTTAGGCTTTTTTTTTTTTTAAACTAAATTAAAAAAAAAAAAACAGCTTTCCAAGCTGGGTGGTGTTTGCATACACCTTTAATTCCAGCACACAGGAGACAGAAGGTCAATCTCTTTGAGTCCAAGGCCAGTCTGGTCTGCAGAGCGAGTTTCAGCACCCCCAGGTTACACAGAGAAACACTGTGTTGAAAAAAAACAAAACAAAGCAAACAAAAAGCCCAGCTTTACACACACATTGGTGATGACAGTTAGCTAAGGCACAGCCTGGGCCTCGCTGTTTCTCCTCACCAGCTGTGAGCAGCAGAGAAGTGCGCAGACTGTATACAGCAGAGTGCGCTTGAAAGTGCCCTCTCTGGAGCACCCCCATCATGCTTGAGTCTGTGCCCTTGGTGGACAGGTGGGCACTGTCACCATGCTTTTCCCCTCTGCTGTGTTCTGTGCAGTGTTCTCCAAGAGCTCAACACTTCCCACCACAGGCCACTGGAGGAAGTGGAAAGGAAGACATAACTTGACTAAAAGTCTTAGGGGCCAGGACTGTGGATCCCATGTGCTTTCTGCTAAGACCTAATCTCCACTTCCAAGTAAATCAGCCAGGTGGTCTCAGCCTAGGCAGAAGTGCTCTCCTGCCTTGGGGTGGTAGTGAGCAGCCCCGTGCTCCCTGGACTGGCACTGCACTCAGTAATTGCTCTCTCTGTCCCTTCACAGCCTTACGACAGTCTGCCTACCTCACAGACCTGCTTCTTCCAGCTGAGGCTGCCCCCCTATTCCAGCCAGCTGGTCATGGCTGAGCGCCTGCGGTATGCCATTAACAACTGCCGTTCAATTGACATGGACAACTACATGCTCTCGAGAAACGTGGACAATGCTGAGGGCTCTGACACTGACTACTGATGAGGGTGCTGTCACCCGCCTCTCTCCGTAATGCTCACTTGTGATTTGATGTTTGACTTTTATGGTAACTGCATAGATGTTGTAGGAACATAAACTGAAACAGTGGCCACATTTAGTTACTTCAAATGAAACAAAGAAATTAGATGTTTTTATTTTTCTGTGATTGTACAAAAACAAAAAGCAGAAACAAACTGCTCAGTCAGGTTTCCTTCCCTCTGTATTTTTGGTCACTCTGAGTAAGTTTGCATGGAACCATTTTGGTGCATTGTTAGTTGGGAATGATACATTTTTGTAAGCCCACCCAGTGAACATGAGATTGTACATTGTGTATAATTGTTCATTAGAAAGGACAGTTTTACATGAATATTCATATATTTATTTTGTTTTAGTTTGATTCGCCTGTGCAGGGTTCCTTATGCAGAGAAATAAAGTAGATTCAGGAATCAGTGGGGGCTGCTGTTGTTGATCCAGGGGAGCTTCAGGCGAGGAGTTGAGGCAGACAGCCCAGATGGAACGAGCGTGGCTGCCCAGCAGTATCACTTTGATGCTCTTTGGCCCATTCAGAAGCTGGGGCAGGTTTCATCTGAAAGACACTACTGCGGATCATGTGGTGGAGGCCGGGACTTGCATGCTGCCTTCCGTTTGTTCTGCTGGCATCTTGGGTCTCTGGCTTTGTTCCCTGGCCCTAGAGCAGAGCTTTATGGCACCACCTCTCCTGCTGCAGAGCCTCAGCACACCTGGCGTGAGGCAGCGCCTCTGTGCCAGTGAACTGGAGGAGACAGAGTGAGCTCTGATGGCAGCTTGGGACAGCGAGGGGGGAGGGGAAGGTGGTGCAGAAGAGACAGCTGTGCACCTGCAGGGATCACCACGCATCAGTAAGTGGATGAGGGAGTGACTGAATTCACCAGGGTTAGTGTGAGGGTGCAAGGCTGAGAAAGAGTCCCACTTGGTGCTTGAGCCCGGCTCCTGTGGTAATTGGCAGGTGCTCATCTGTGCATGAGTGTTAGCTGAGTATGTTGGGGAGGGAGGGGCCACCTCACTCTGAGGCTCTTGCTGCATTGTACCAGAAAGAGTTGGAGGCCAGTGGGCAGCTTGTCTCTTTTACTCCCACCAAATGTGTACCACAAGCTGCTTCCTGTGGACTCAAGACAAAGGTCATTGCTGACAGCCTGCTCCAATAAGGTATGAGGCAGAGAAATGGGCAGGCAAATGTTAGAATTTATCAGTAGAAAGGCTGGTGTTTGTTTTTCTGAATCTGAGTGAAAATCCCTGATTAAGCTGAGAAGTCTGACATCATTTTATTGAAGTTTTCATCTGGAATTGGGCCTTAGAGAAAGGATCATGTTTCTGAGGGACACCAGGGGCTTCTAGATAGTGACAAGCCCTTAACACTGGGCTTGAGCTTGAAAGGCCATGTCTGGGCCTCTGGCCAGGAGAGTTTCACTAAGAGAATATGCTCGGTGGGGATGAGATTACGGGCCTGTTGACTCCTCTGGGTTTCGTCCTGGTAACAAGCAGTGTTTTCCCTCTTGCTGAGCCAAGAGTGTGCAGTCTGCAGGCTTCAGTTTACTTTAATTGTGGCTCAGACCTTTAACAGTGGCTATGCCCCACCTGGAGAGGCCAGAAGCACTCTTAACAGGACGGTGCTCAGACCTAAGGCACTGTCTCAGCTGGCCCAGAAGAGTTTTCTAGTGGGCTTTTACTCCACGCCACCATGCTGCCTCTTGGCTGGAAACCTGCTTGCATTCTTTGCTTCTTGAAGACTAGTATTCCTTGTCTGTGGAGCAACAGTTGGGTCCGGGGGTAGGGATTTGGTTTGCCTTGGTTACATTCACCCCTTAATTGTGTAGGTCCTTAATTGGTGGCATCATTCAGTTAACAAATACTTGCAGATTTATGCCCTTAATCTCAAGAAAACAAAAATCCTCTTGCCTTTAAAAAAAAAAAAAAACAAAAACAAACAAACAAAAAAGCTTTTCCCATATGTCTATGAAGAAGTGGGTTTGTTCAGGTTCTCCCAGATTGTGACTTTTGCTAGAAGAAGCTCTGTGTCTGGCAAGAAGCTCTGTGTTGTACATCGACTGGAAGAGCTTGCAGGAGGGTTGCTCAGGGTAAGGTGGTCTCCCTTTAAAGATTTGGGGAAAGTACTGGGCCACAGGTCAGCACTGCCATAGTAGGATCCAGGAGGCTTCGCTAGTGCAGAAGCTGGTGTGTGTCCCTCCAAGACAGGTTTTGAGCACCACCTCAGACTTTCCCAGGGTCTCTGGGGCCCACCACGTAGGCCCAGGTCTCTGCTGGCCTCAGGCTCCAGCTTGATGAGATCTTTATGCAGTTCCTAGCCAAGACAGTGGGCTGTCTTCTGAAGAAGCTGTGCACTCAGCTTCCTAGCATGAGATTGAAAAGATGGGTTCCAGTGAGGATGTGGTCTGAATAAGCCTGTGAAGGCACAGATCAAACCCAAGACCCGTTCCAGTTGTTCTGGCAGCCCCATCTGCCCCGACTTACCCACTTTCCCTGAAGGTGCCATGCGCTTGCTAAGCCCTGCCTGCTAACAGGAACATCGTCCTCACGGCTGGGACACTCCCCTGGGTGATCCACTGGGTTCCCCACAGATTAAAAGGCATTACGCTAGACCTGTGTGTTCTCTGATTCTGGGCTAGACACGCCACAGCTCAGAACCTGGCAGCAGCAGGAAAGACACTCAGCAGTCCCCAAGGCCTTGGAGGCTGTGCCTGTGTCTGGACAGTGTTCAGAGCAACTTCACAGGCTTTCCCTGTGCTTGGTGTTCTGGCTCCTGCTGGCAGGAGGTGACCTCCAAAGGCTCCTTTTGGAGCCTAATCTGTCCTTCACAGCTCCTTCCATCCAGTTCTCCCCTCCTCTCCTCCCAGCCGAGCTCCTAGTCAGGCATCCTGCAGTTTCTTGGGCTGTAACACTTTCCATATGGCTTGCTTGGCTCCCTGGCTCCCTTCGTGGCTCAAGCGTCACTTTCTCCATGAGATTTAGTTGGTGAACCCCTTCTGAGTGCCTCCCCACACCCAGGGTTGCCCGACTCATCTCTACCCTACCCCCACAAGCCGCCTTCTGTCCCAATTACAGCCTCCACTAGAAGAGAGGCTCCATGGGAACAGAAGAGAATGTCTTTTTCTTGTGTGCTTCCTCCTCATCCCACCCCCCAAATTGGGAAACACATTAAGGAGCCCTATGGGTAGGGATCGGGAAACCATTTCACAGAAAACTGGAAAAACCTGCCTGCAGATAAATGAAGTGGTCTTGGTTACAGCTGGTGGAGGGAGGCGCCCCTCTGAGCTTCCCTCTGGGTTCAATTACCCTGCCTGCCTGTCCCACGTCCGGCGTCCGGCGGGGAGTGGGGGGCGCTGGGTGAACAGAGGGCCCTGACCTTGGGGACGAGTGGACGAAAGTGAGGTTGACCTGGCAGTCCAGGCTCAGCCAATCTAGTGAATACAAGTCTCGTTTTGTGTCAGCACTTAACTAGGGCTACTACTTTCATCTTTAAAGGTCATGCACTCTCCCCTTGTGAGGACTATCAGTCATGCAGGGACGGAAGCGAGTTTTCTAAAAAGGCTTGTGCACGCTGCTCCGTAGGGGCAGGGGCGGCCCGGGAGGCCCTAGCCTCGGGTTCGTTGGGAGGCTCCAGGCCAGCTAGGGCGCACGGGCGCGCGCGGCAGACGTTCAAAGACCACCACCCCACATTTCCCAAGCATCCGCTCCTTTACTCGCGTGCGCGTCCTCCGTAGGAGCCCGTGGAGTGAGGCGGGCACTGTCCCCGGGGCGCGGCCGGGAGAACCGAGGCGGCGCGCGGTGGCTGGTCGGGGATCATGGTCGCGCTGTGCTCGGCGCTCAGGGTCAGGCGCGGGCGGGCGGCGCGTAGACGGAGCAGGCCGGCGGCGCTCACGTTGCGGCAGAAGTCCACGTGCAGCGTCTGCAGCGCGCGCCCGTGCGCGGCCACGGCCGCCAGCGTGCGGTTGGTAACGCGCGCGCAGTTCTCGAGGCGCAGCGCGCGCAGGCGCGGGCAGCTGAGCAGCAAGCGCGCCAGGCAGTCGTCGGTGACGTGGCCGCAGCCCGAAAGCGTGACGGACGCCAGGTTGGGGCACCTGCGGGCAGAGGGCGGTGACACGGGGCGAGGTGCGGCAGGACTCGAGGTCCAACCCAGGACACGGCTGCCGCGAATCCGAGGAGCCAGGGCTGCGGCCAGGGGCCCCTGTCCCTTCAACCTGTGGGAGCATGGGTCTCCGGGAGGGACAGCCGTGGGCCTTTCATCCTCCCCGGGCTGGAAGCCATGCGAGGTTGGGGACGGGGGCTCTGGGGATAATGGCTGGTGACTAAAAACCGTAGTTTGGAGTCTAGCCTTCAGCTCGGTCGCCTGAAACAGTTGCTTCATGCCCTGGGGCAGCAGCCCGCACCGAGGCAGCGAGAGCCAGGCCCGGAAGTTGTTTGTAGTGAGACCCGACTATCACTGGCCCAGAGTTTACTCTGTGTGATAGGTGAGTGGGGCCGTGTGTACCCATGCGCTTGTGGTAATTGAGGTCTGGGTGAGCAAAGGCACACAACCCACTTTCTGGAGATCAGGAGGGTCACGTGGCTTCCTCCTGGGAGGCGTCTCTGGTGGGCCTGGGCGCTGTGGTCAAGGAGCTGAATCTGGATGGAAGGACAGGTTCCTTTCCACACCACCCTCCCCTTAGTGCTTTGCCTACACCTAGCTGGCCCAGCCTATCTCCTGTGCCTGGAAAGATAAAAGTAATTTAAAATATACGGGCTTGGCACCGTTTCACACCGAGCTCATGCCGCCCTCACTGTGCACATTCAGTGCTAACCACGTACACGGTACCCCAGTTTTGTAAGTGAAGAGACTGGCCCAGAGTGACTCAAGGGACTTAACAAGTGGGTACTCTGTGGGCAAGATACAGTCACTCACAATGGTTCGAAAGGTGCGTTTAGGCCCACCGCATATTGCCTGATCTGGCCTTAGGTTTTAGACAGAGTGACGAAAGCGGAAGAGTCCCCTCACAGCCCCAGCTCGTTTTACCCCTCTCTCTACTGTGTCATTTCATCCTCTTGGCCTGTGACTGAGAGAATTTTCTCATTTTGCAGTGGGGTGTAAGGCAAACGTTTAAACACTTGGTCTGGGGACAGCCTCTGAACTGGAAACTCGGTGCCCTTTGCACTTGTCCTGACCCTAGGGACCCAGTGCTTAGCAGATAGTCTGAGGTCGAATCTTGCTGGTCTGGGAGATTAAACCTAGTTATCTTCCAGCAAGAGTGAACCAATGTGGGGTTGTGACACTCCCCTTCCACCCATCACCTTCAATTTTTTTTTTTTTTTTTTTTTTTTAAGCTTAGTAAAACCCATCAAAATGGCCTGCCCTGGCCTGGTCAAAGCCAAGCCTAAATCCAAGTTGGGGAAAAGAGAACAAGGGAGAGGCAGGCCGCTGTAATTTCCTATTCTGTGGAAGCCAGTCAACAGTGGCTGTCAACCTTGGGTGGCAGCAGCGGGCAACCAGCTGTTGTTAGCCTGCAGGGAGCTCCTTCTCCTCAGCAACTGGCAGGGCCATGCTGGCCAAAGCTGTCTTACCTAGGAAAGTGTGAGCAACCCATTCGATGGCTCAGCCTGTGCGAGGGAGGGCGCCTTGTCTAAAGGTGAAACGGGATGTTTTCAGGCCATGCTTATGCTAAAAATGACTTGCTTTAGCTCAGATTACAATTTAAGCGGGTGGCAAAACCCTGGGGCTTCTACACTGGATACTGAACACTCTCTCTGAGCACCACTTTTGCCCTTGACAATTGAAATACTCCGTCTGGCACTATGCAAAATGAGTGTTTCTCAGTGGAGATGCTCACTGCTCTCTGCTACCTGTGCACCGTGGCTCCTCCTTCCTCATCAGCAGGTCTTGGGCCTTGGCAGCTGCTTGGGTCAAATTAGAGGCCTGGACCAACTGATGCCTCTGGGAGTCTTTTCCCAGGGCTTGACCTTGACAGCACACGCTCAGCTGGACCCAACCAGCCCTTAGTGGCTGCCAGGAAAGACAGCTGCTCCAAAAATAGAGCCAAGCGAACTCAGTTCCTTTTTCACAGCAGCAGCTTCAGGAACTGAGAGACTGAGAGAGCCGATTTTGTCTGCCTTGGTCTGAGTCTGAGCCATACTGCTGTTGGGATGTGCTTCCCTGTCACCCTGGAGCCAAGGCCTGCAAGGCCACACTGCTCCGGGGCAAGGTGGCCTACCTGTCGCACACCTGCAGGAGGAAGTCGTTCACCAGGCTTTCATGCTGGCTGCAGATGCTCCTCTGGAAGGCGCTCTTGAGCCAGTCCTCGATGCTGCACACCTGCACTCGGCTGGAATGCCAACAGATGGACAGGCTGCGCAGTGCGGGGCTCAGCCGGAAGTTGTCCTTCTTGAGCTCTGCCAGGGAATGGAAGTGCAGCAGGGGCCAGAGGGTGGGGTCCTCAAACACATCTCGGAGCTGGGAGCAGGTCCTGGAGAGGTTCTTCCTGCTGTCCCTGTCCAGGAAGGAGAAGAGGCACAGCAGGCACTCCCGGTTGAGCTGCGTTATGTGCATGGTGAGTGGCGGCCTCACGTGCGTGTGCCCAGCAAGGATCTGACCTGCCTCCTGCCTCCTCCCCAGATCAGGACTGGTGGACATATATGGCTGAGGAATGGTGTTTATTTTTGGCCAACAACTGGTGCTGAAGCTTGGGGTGGGGAGGGCGGATATCAGGACCCAGACTTACACGCACAGCCATCTGTGGTTCGGCCTATGTTCAAAGGGCCTGAAAGTCCTGGCAGAAGAGCGGCCCATGGAAACTCAAAGTTTCCTTAAAAGGGCTTTCTTTTCCTCTGAGCTGACAGCAGTGTTGAGCACAGAGCTCCTGGCTTTTCCCAGTGTTTTCATTGGAGGTGATTAGCCACAAGAGCGCTGCCTGAGCTTGCAGTCTTTCTGTCTGGCAGGGTGACGGTCAGCTGTTAGATCTCAGGTTGTCCACGCAGCTCCTTCGCGTGCCCTTCCTAGGAGGAGGCCAGTCCTATCTACCAAGTTAAGGGTGGTGACGGGTCCTGAACTGTGAGTGGAATCCAAAGGTTCTTTTCAGTTACTTTAGCTTAGGACTTTGACAGTTTGCAGGGAAGGCTGAGCTGTCTTCAAACCTTAGCGCCTTTACTTGGCAAAGGATTTCCTTGGCCCAAATGGCTCTATTTTTACCCTGAACTGTCACAGAAGATTCAGCTGAAGTGTTTTGTTTTAAAAGCTTGTGTGTGTGTGTGTGTGTGTGTGTGTATATGTTTTCTTGGGCATAATTTCCTTTATCTGTCCCAGATATAGTACTTCCCAAGATTTAAGAGTGGGCAGAGGCCGCTCTTCTTCAGTTTCTAATTTTGAACACGGACTAGAGGTGTAAAGTGACGTAGATGCATGCATGCGGCTCCCCGCTGCCCTGCTTTTTAAGAGTGGTGATGTGTCTGTGGTGAGAAGTGTTGCAGCACAGCTGAGGGCAGGCACTTTGTGAAGCTGTTAGTACAACATGAGAAACCTAAGACAGCTCCAGCTCCCCCTGGAAGGACTCCGCAGAGCCCTGAGATGCCCGCCCATCTTTCCTCTTGCCCACGCAGACTACAGGACCACCCCTACTGTCTGCTGCTCTGTCGTTTCTTAGCTCTCATGGAAATAATCCAGGAGTAAGAGGAAAGAGGGGAGACCTTCCATGCCACTTGGCAACAGCCCAGCTGGTGAGGCGGGACTAGGGTGTGATTACAGCTGGAGTGAACACGTCACATGCACAAGGTCTCTTGGCATCGTATGAACCACTAAGCTTTAACGGGAAATTATCTTGGCACAGCCACCACTCACCTGGGGGACTACTGCCCAGTGGTGACAGTCACAGACACGTGCCCCCTTCTTAGGGCTGCCTCTGGCCACAGGGGAGCTGTGCTGTGGATGTGGAAATAGTTCTTACCTGAGCCTTTGCTGAGCCTGGGCAAGAGGTGACTTCAGCAGTAGAAGGGTCACAGGAGAGTTTAGGGGACTGGGGAGGTTACAGTGGGTTAAACATGCGCACAGTAAACCAAAGAAGAGAAATAAATCTCAGCAGGTTCCACAGGTGAGACACATGACACTCATTCAGGGCCAGCACATGTGACTGGTTTAATTGCATCATCTGTCGTCACTACACACTGAGTAGAATACAGTGGATAAGCATAGGTTTCTCCACCATGGAGAGAGACTTGTGTTGCCACAACTGTTTCTATCCCCACCTGTGTGGGAGGACTTGAAGTTTCCTGATCCCATAGGCTGACGGGACAGGGTATGCGTGAGGCCCTGCCTCAGTGTAAACTGAGCAAAAAGCTGCATGTGGGCGAGAATGCATGATGTGGAGAAAGCCCTCAACAGCAGAGAAATGAGGTTGTAACAGATGCAGTAAGGCCACACATTAACACACAAATAGGCACATTTACATCGTGGGTGTTCAGATGTGCAATGCGAATGACTGCAGTCATTTTCTCAAAGTCTTGATAGTGCCACTCAGACATTAACGTTTAAGTAAAATGAAGCAATAAAGCTGCTATAAAATTCCCAGAGATGTTTCATTCCCCTTGTATGCCCACAGAGTTGCCTTCTACTGAGCACTCTCCCCGACACAGCAGTCCAGTCCGCTGCTGCGTCAGCCTCAGAGCTGTGACGGCGTCAGCTCTGAGTCCTCACTGTGTAAGCCATCACAGTTGCCCATTCAGAAGCCAACACATAAATTCCAGACGAGCCTGGGTTAGCAGGGGCTGTGTGCAAGGTCAGATGAGATTCAAATTCAGGCTTAACTATGTTATCAAGATTCCAATATGTTAAATCATGTGACCCTCAATCTGTGGATCAAACCAATAGAATAATAAAACTGCATATGCCTCTGCCTCATGTAACTCGGCAGTTCCTCAGTGTCTTCCTGCAAGAAAATTTAGACCAGTGTGCGAGAGAACCCTACGCCCTGTGGAAACGTACTAGCCCTGCACTGTCCTGTACCCAGCACTGGACATATGACTATGGTGACTGAGGAACAAGTTTTCAATTTAACCACATGTAGCCATTGTCCTGACAGATTCAAGTTAGGTTTGTGTTAAAGTGCTGCTCCCACGTGTAACTTCTGCTCTGAGGGAGGGCACCTAACATTAAAATGGAATTGGGCCATGTCTGCTCCATCAACTTCACACTCACCAAGGAAAGCTACCAAACTTACTTTTCTTTTAATAGGAAAAACAGGATTACTAAAACATCTACATGAAGTGCATTTTTGTTCTTTGAGAGGAGGCAAACATGGAACAGGCCATGTTGGAGTTCTGCACTCTGACATGCAGGCTGTCATTACCTCCATCTGCAAACTCAATCACTGGCCTCCAGCATTTGCCACCAGCTGCCTTCTTTAAATAGGCCAAATTTCAATTTGGATTAAACCCAAGTAGCACTTAACTACAGTATTTTTTAAGCTACTGAATTTAAGAATAGAAACTAGTCTTGTTCAAAATACTTTGATTTGGCTCTGCTTTCAGGCAGGGAGTGAGTTAAAACCCAGACTATAGATGACTCGGCTTCTGCCTGGAGGCAAGTGTACAGCAGTCAGCTCTGGAGGCTAACAGCCCACTCTGATGGGCCAACAATCTGCCTCACAGTGCACACCTCTACCACACACTGAATCACAGGGCTTTTTAAAACACTTATTTGCACTTCCCAGTGTTCCTTGCCTGTCTGCCCCAAGAAAATATAACAGAAGAACAGAAACAAGAAATAGAGCAATTCCGGAACTCCAGCACAGATGCAACGGTACTGACAGATTTATTTAAAGCTGAGAAACAGCAGCCTGAGACGCAGGCAGTGCTGATGGCCGGGTCTACTGACCCTCAGCTACTGCTTATGGTCAGAAGGAATTCCTGAGCAGTCACTGTGAAACCTCTGGGCCACAGATCCTGCGCACACGACCCTCACTGTGGAGTCGCTGACATGGCTGCTGTGAAAAGGCAGCAGGTAGGGTGGCTCTCAGCATGTGAGTACAGAGCAAATGCAAATGTGCCTTGGTGAGAACTGAAAACATTAATATAAAAAGTCAGAACTAAGTTCTGGAAACTACATATAAAAATCAAATTATTACAACTAAAGCAGCCAATCAAAATGCCTGCTGAGGTTTTCTGGTAGAACAACAAAAATTAGTTGGTGGCCATTTTGAGTAAGTCACTACCACTGACCAAACTAAACCCCAAACTGGAAATTGAAAAGTGCATAATGAAATTAACTCTTGGATCAAGTATTTATGGAAAATTGGAAATGTTTGTCCGGTACAGTTGATGAATCATGATCAGAGGAGGTATTAAAGTTTATCTGATCCAGCTCTGGCCTGACGCTCCACATAAAAGAGAATGTAGGCTTTTGCCTTCCCGACGGTCTCCTCATCAGTCACTGTTACAGTGCTGTCATTGAAATGGAACCAGCAGCCTTCATGAGTTGCGTATGCCGTGTAATGTCCAGAACCGACTCTGTTAAGAAAAGGCAAAAATAAATAAATAAATAAACAAACAAACAAATAAATAAGTAAATAAAATGAAGGAAAAGACTACAGAAGGAAAGTAGTAAATGGCTGGGGGGTGGCAAATGTCTTTAATACTAGCACATAGGAGACAGAGGCAGGTGTTATCTCTGAGTTTGAGGTATACATAGTACTAGGGCTATGCAGTTATAAACTCTGTCTCAAATAATGATGATGAAAAGCTACAGAAGACACAAAAGGACCTTTGCAGCTGAGCAGTTAAAGGTCATCAATTTAATAAGCATAATAATTAGAAAATAAAATCCTAGAGACCTCTAGTTTAAGATGGTAGTTGAGCTCTTCTGTTTACCTTCCTCTAAACCCACAGACAAGGAATATATTGACACTGGGAAACAGCTAATAAAGCAACCCACCACAAAACTGAGTTTCTGGAACAAAGCAGACGGCACTGAGGCAGGGTGGAAGCGAGAGCGCTGTGGGCAGCCTCGTGAGCAGAAGCCTCTGGACAGAGGCAAGACTGACGCCAGAGAATCAGCCTGCCCTCAAGAGAGGTACCCTGTGACCTGGTCACTAAGGGCTCTGCCTGTCAGCACAGCCTGGTGTGAAAAGAGCAAGTGGAGAGCTCAGTAGCTGCTACAAAGTTCTTTAGCATAGTTTTGCTCTCCCATTTCCTAGGGGAAAGTAACAGCAGTAGAAATAAGTCGGGGGGGAGGATGTGTGTGTGTGTGTGTGTGTGTGTGTGTGTGTATATATGTATATATATATATATATATATATATATATATATATATATATATATAT